AGAAGTCCTCATTTATAGTGTTTATATGAACACGATTATCTTTATAATGATATAAATTGTGGTTGTCTGTATATGAAATTACAAATAACAAATGTAGCAGGGCATTAAATTACTGTTTATTTCTTTGCATTTTAACTTTGTAAACTATAAACTCATGCGTCTCCTCAAGGTTTGTCTCAATTTGTGAGCTAACTGACATCAACAGTTGTTCGCTCCCAATGACTGTAAAAAATATGGACGACGCGACAGCCCCTTTTCCCATTGAACGCCGTGAGGGCAAAACGCCTGCTTGACGGGCACAAACTGTCGCAAAAGACTGCTGAAATTGGAGCCTTGACATGCGCAGAAGGACTGTCTGATGGAGCCAGAGGAGGAGCCGCGATAATGAGCGGAGTCGAGCTTCCAATCAAACGCTTTATGTAAAATCAACCACGCCCCCCGAACTTCTCACTCGACACCTCCTGTATCTGCAGTATAACAAAAGCTCACTGATGTAAACAGAAGCACTTACATTTAAAAACACAGAATAATATACGATTTAAAAACGGTGTGATTTAAGCTGTTATACTTTAATAAAAGCAATAAATGCTTGACTGCAGAAATAAACGATCTTTTATACACTCTAGCCTGAATATGAGCACAAATAATATATTCTCTTATTGTTATATTTGTTGTTGGTATTTGTTATCTTCATAGGGGTAGAAATAACACTTGTAAAATATGAACAATAACATATAAACAACACGTACATTTTTAAAAAAGGTTTTTATTTTTAATTAGCCATCAACAGAGCCCAAAATATAGCCTACACACCATAACGATTTACCATGCGGGAACAATCGTGTGTTTAGAAGATAAATACAGCAAGATTACTAAATATTTACACATCCCAACCCTGCAATTTGTCAATTTGTGCAAAAAAACTTTGCACTATTAAAGAGCCCATATTATACATGAAATAGGGTCATATCTTGGTTGCAAGGGTCTCCAACAACAGTTTAATATGCATGCAAGGTCAAAAAACACTTTCATGGTCTTATAATCTGCATTTATTTTTACCTAATTATCCCAGCGACTCCCGTATGAATCGTCCAGTGATTCATTTGTTCCCAAACCCCTCCTTAGCGCGAAGCTAATCTGCGCTGATTGGACCGATGACAGTCTGTCGCGATTGGTCGACTGCCTTCAGTCAGAGAGTGAAATGCCAAACAGCTAATCAGCAATATAAAAGTAATCACAGTTCATACACGCTCGATAGTGTAGGCGTGGAGTTTAGCTGCCAGTGGGTCAATGTAAATACAGACTATGGACTTGAAAATACAGACAACTAACTATTTTATTGAGCAAAAACTCAAAAACAGTTGAGGAGATCTCCTAGCTTCTCACTCTGCTCTTTTCACACACACACACACACACACACACAAACACACACACCTCCGGACGACAGCGCGCGCACACGCACACACAGACACACACACTACTCCTCGTCCAAGGAGCTCCGTTAACAAAGCAGCACGCGTCGCGTTTTTAACGTGACTTTGCACGAGATAAGAGAATATAGCCAGTTAACCTGATACAGTACACGCGGTTACAAGTAACAAATCACAACTAAACACATTTGCAAGCTAGAGTCAACGAGGCAACTTTAATCGCACGTACTTACACTTGAGAAATGGAGGAAGAAAAATCCATCCTGACGTCCATCAGTAAGTTACTCTTTACTGATCCTTCCTTTAACAAACGCTGATGAAGTGTTCTTTGTAGCATGTAGCTTCCAGAAGTTTCCAGTAGTTTCCAACTGCTTGACTATAATGCTGAGGTTTCATCTTTGGGTAGAGACTCAATATATCCATCTGCAGTGTGTCTTCAATCGACCGGCATGTTTGTGTGTGTGTGTGTGTGTGGGTTTCTGCGTCAGAGGGCGGGGCCTCAGGTTTGAAATCTCCCGGGTTTGCGCGTGCACGTGAATAACTTGGTTTCGTTCGTACGTCATGGCGAAACACCTAATGACTCGGTATCAAGGCGACTCGTTTGAAGCACTATGAGTCGACTCTTTTATAGATGAATCAACCGTTTTAAACACTGTATTCTTACAGATTTAAGCCTTAGCTGGATACTTCGCTTCACTTAGAGCTGTGTTACACACTACATGGAGGGGAATTTTCAAAAACCCATAATATGGGCTCTTTAATACAATGTGCTGCAACATCGCTAGTATATTGTTTATTGATTTTCGCTTGAATTGTTTATTTATTAATTTTTTTGCCTCCGTTTTCATTTGGTTTATTCGATGCCTTCATTATATCTGGCAATGAGGAATTTACATTCCTTTTAATGTTAGTTGGAGTTGGAGTAGTTTTATTGTCATTTTTATATTTCTTAATTCTTGTGCACTACAAAATGTATTTAATTGTATTATTATTTAATACTTGTGCAATCAATACAGTTTTTTTGTTATTTATTTTGTCCTTTATTTAAATATTTGCGATGTATGCTGTTTGCATCTTTATTCAAAGGTTAAACTCAGTGATACACTTTGCGTTTACATAGTAGCCTGCGTTTGCTGTCATATCAACACAATGTAATAACGTTAACAAAGGTGAGGGTTTATATAATTTTTTTTTTTTTTTAGTTTAGTTTATTTGTTTACAGGGTCAATGCACATTAATAAACATTACTGTAAAATGTGCCAGAATTAGCCAAGAATGGCTATTTTTCATCCGTAGACCCTTTACAGAATGTTAAAAAGTCACACCTAAAATAGAAGCACAACATTAAACATTAAATACACTTTCATAAGAAATACAGTTAAAAAAGTAAAGAAAATAAAAAAATAAAAAAAAGAACAGACTGATGGGAGCAGAGGACAAAAAGCCAAAGACAACAGTACAAATGTGTCAAGAATACAGTACTAATGCTGACAATGCTGATTTGTCAATAACCAATTTCTAACATGAGACTGAAAAGAACGAAAAGTGCATGATCTTCTAATTGTGGGTGGGAGGAAGATTCAGACTGCGCCAGCTCCGGGCCGCAGCGCATAACGTACTCGCGGCGTCGCGGGCTGATTCCGGCTCGCATGGGGCAGCGCCGGCTCGCTCGGCTGCCGCATCTAGCTCGATTGACTCGGGCTGGAATCGGGCAGAGTCCAGGCATCCGCAGTAGGTCCAGCAGAGGTAGTCAGTCTGAGGGGTAAGTCTCCGGCAGGCGAGAATCTAGCCGCAACTGGGCCGAGTGTATTTTGCTATCTGGGTGGCTAGGCGTGTATCAGCAAACTAATAAAGCCCGAAAAAAGCCCTGACCTTAGTGAATAAACAGTGTTCCACCAGGATCATGTATGTCAGAAACTGTAGTTTACTGCTGAACTCATTATATCATGGTAAAATAACACAGAAATCGAGTAATAACACTTCAGTCTCCTGCCGAAGCTCAGACGCGCTGCTTTGAGAAACTGTCAATCACCGCTGTCAATCACAATGACACGCCCAGCATTAAATTACTGCTAAAACCTTTTTACAAAAATGAAGATCTGCACCTATTTCAGCACATTAATTAATGCCTTAATCGACCAGAACCATCTTTCGGGACATTTTATTGCAAGTGTAATAATTTTTTTTATTTGGGCTCAAGTCTCCTTCATTAACACGGAGGAGGCGGGCTTTATGACTTGTACTGCAGCCAGCCCCCAGGGGGCGATCTGACAGCCGAGACCTTCACTTAAACGCAGGCTTGCGGCACACTTGTTCGCTCCCCTTCTCCCCTGCTGGCCACGCCCACTCCTGCCCTATGCTCGCGGAGCTCCACGCCCATTAATAATGCATCGTTTGAAAAAATTCTGAAGTAGACTTTAACCGAAAGTGGGGGGTGTCATGGCCCTTTAAGTGCGCACGGGACTTTTATTTTGAAGGCGCAGCGCTGCTGTGTTTCCGTGTTTAGTCAGCGTCGGTCATCTGACGGCTTTAGTCGCTTTAAACGGAGTTTTGGAGTATTTTTTGGGAGTATTTAATCTGTTGAAGGGAGAGTTTAGGGTCCATACATAAAGTCAACAGTGTTCTGCTGTTTAAAGCGTACAATTCTCCACATTATGGGGAAGTTTCTTGTGTTTTGGTCGACCTTCCTGCTGATGTGCGTCGCGTTCAGTTTTTCTGAATCAGAATCAACAACAACACAACAACCTACAACTGCTCCACCTGTGCGCAAACGTACGTTTTCATTTGCATCTTCCTTTATTTTTATCCCATATTTCTATTCCATTGAGGTAAAGTTGGTGTTATAACCGCAAATTCGTTCATTGCCAACTTGTGACTCGCTCCCTATGTTGTTTACCGTGATACTTTGAATATTCGGTCAAAATCACATACAAGTATGACTTGAAAACAACATTAGCTCTGTTTATTTGACTGTGAACAATGTTGTACTTTGATAGTCACTGACTGATAATATGATTTCTCTATTTAAAATTAACAAAGAATACTTTTCTGAAATTAAATTAAGGAGAAAATCTGAATGTGTTAATATAAAACTAGCAATCTGCAGTCTAAAAGGGCTCGTAATGCACATGCATATTAATAAATAGAGTATTATACATGTTTATATTATTGTTCTTATTGTATGTGTATTTCTGTTATAACTTACAAAATGTAAATATGTTCATAATGTTAATGTTCTAATTTAACTTTTACATATTATAATATATCTAACTTTTAAAGTCAAATTTGAGGGGCAGTAGTGTTTAGTCTTCAATATAAAATGCAAAAACTGTGTGTCTGTCTGTGTGTGTTTAAGTAATGTCACAGAAATATAAGCTGCATATTTTGGGAATTTTGGAAATTAAATTGTTTTGAAGGCCCTTGTTTTGTATTTTTAATTATATATTTCATTTTATCGTATATTTCTTCATCATATTTTCATTTTAAACTCATGTAATCTTATACAGTACGCCCCATTTAAAACATTTATATTTTTCAGGGAGTAAAAAGGTCATATTTGATTGATATAAAGTTGGTTTTATATTCACACATTCAGACTTTCTGCTTAATATAATTTCAGAAAAGTATTATTTACATGTTCTAAATAGTGAAATCATATTAGCAGCCAATGACTATCAAAATATAGCATTATTTACAGTGAATTAAATAGTGCTAATGTTGTTTTAAGTCATGCTTGCATGCGATTTCATATCTAGTATTTAAAATATAGCGCAGTAAACAATATCTAGACCGTCTCACAAATTGTCACTGAATGAATTTGCCAATAAAAGACTATTTCACCTCAATTTCTTACTGTATGTTTGTATTTCTTTAATATATTTTTAGTTTTTTAAATATATCTAACTTTTAAAGTTGTCATATATTTGAATGCCAGTATTGTTAGTCTTCACTATAAAAACACTAAAATTATGTGTGTGTTGAAATAATAACACAGAAATATAAGTTGCATATTTTGGGAACTTTGAAAATTTGGGTTTTTTTTGAAGGCCAATTTTTACTATTTGGGGTAAAGTTGATTTTATATTTGCACATTCAGACATTTATCCTTCTTAATAAGATTACAGAAAAGTAATGTTTGCAAATTGTAAGTAGTGAAATCATATTAGCAGCCAATGACTATTAAAATACAGTGCTAATGTTGCTTTCAAGTCATACATACATGTGATTTCAGATCCAATATTCAGTATAGCGCAGTCAACAATATTTGGACCGTCTCACAAGTTATCACTGAAAGAATGTGAGAATATAAAAGCAATGCCCTCAATGTATTTACTCGGTTATTTTAATGAACACCCCAGTTTGAAAATGAATATTTTTATCCATTACTCAGTGAATATAGGTCTTATATTTTTGTGCATTTGAACAAAACCGATTTATTATTTATTAAAATATTTTTGTAGTCATCAAACATCTTTAAAAATGTTTACATCTTTAGTTTTTTTGTCAGATTAGCTCTAGTTTTAGCTTCATTACTGCCTGATCTAATGTATGTGCACACAAATAATATTATTAAGCATTCATTTTCTTTTTGGCCCAGTCTCTTCATTAATCAGGGGTCGCCAGAGTGGAATGAATCACCAACTTATCCAGCATATGTTTTATGCAGCGCATACCGTTCACTGAATGCGTGTTTGTGTCTCTTTCTTAATGTTTTATGTATTGTGAGCATCAGGATTATTAAAGTAAACTGAAACCATTTTGTTACTTGAAATAAATTAAACATTAACTGAAAAGTGTATATCAATATATAAACCTTTAACTTGCTTTATTGCCAAGGAATTTTAATCTAGTTTAACTTGATGCATTAACAAAAATAAAATAAAAAGCATAAAAACTGTAGACATATAAAAATAATACGATAAATTCGAAACAAATAAACTTAACTAAACTAAAATAACACAGAAATCCAAAATTAAAAGCCATTTACCAAAATAAATAACGTTGAAGTGTTTTAGCATTTATGTGAAGATCTTATAAACATTAAAATACTTTGGAGTAGTTTAATAATGCAGAAGATTTAAAAATAAATACAGAAACAAAAACATTTGAATATAAATTTTCTTCCTGGCTTTAGTATTAAATACATTTGTGAGTTTCCAGAACATCAAAACATGTTTCTGAACACACAGATCTCTTTATTGTCAGAGTGTTTTTATTGTTTGTGTTTTTTCTCTTCTCTTCTTATACTTTATTTTTAACCCCAGCATGCAACACTCTGACTTCCTGTGAGACCTGCCTCGCCAACGTCTCGGTAAGAGTGCAAAAAAACCACTCATTTACAGGTTATTAGCTGTCGTTGATGTTGAACAGTGTGTGTGTGTTTGTGTGTGTTTGTGTGTGTTTGTGTGTGTGTGTGTGTGTGTGTGTGTGTGTGTGTATTTCTCTGCAGTATATGTGTGTATTATTATTATTATTATTGTTGATGATGATCTGTGTGTGTGTGTGTGTGTGTGTGTTTCTCTGCAGTATATGTGTGTATTATTATTATTATTATTGTTGATGATGATCTGTGTGTGTGTGTGTGTGTGTGTTTCTCTGCAGTAAATGTGTGTATTATTATTATTGTTGATGATGATCAGTGTGTGTGTTTATCTGCACTGTTTGAGTGTGTATTATTGTGATGATGATGATGATGATGATGATGATGGTGTGTGTGTTGCAGTGTCTGTGGTGTTTGACGAACAGCAGCTGCTCTGATTATCCAGTGTCGTATATCATTCCTCCATCATCCGTCTGTAAACTCTCTCAGGCCCGATGGGGCGTCTGCTGGGGTGAGTTTGAACACACGCACACACAAACACACACACACACACACAAATACACACACACACACACAAATACACACACAAGAATTTCTGTCAGACAGACAGCCACAAACTCTAGGCCTGTGAAATATGATGATCTACACCTTATCTATGAAATAAAAACATTTTTCATTCATGTTATGCTCTCTTTTTTTGTGATGCATTGTTTACAGGATACTGTGTCATAATTCAGATAAGAATCTTACAGGGAGAGATTTAGCATTTTATTTGGCAATATTTTATGTCAGGCCTGACATTTTTAGCTTTTAAAAAATGTATTTATGTTTCACGTGCAATTTATTGATTAATTTACTGTACATCTATATTATATATTCTGTATATGCTTATGTGGGAATGTTTATATATAATTCCAAAATTTTAATTGACTATTAATCAGCCAAATGTACAGAAAATGCACTTTATCTTGATATATATGGTTATCAGGAGATGAGATGACTTGTATTGTGATTGTTAGGTTTTCAGCCCTAGTGGAGATGATGGAAGTAAAGCTTTCAGACGTTTTCTGAAGTGACATTTAGATTCAGCACTGGAAATCCCTCAGTTCTGCTTACTGGAAATCACAGAGCAGAGAATCAGGATTTCATTATCTCAAATCTGAGGACAATAAAATCCCTTATTATGCGGATTTCTGGAATGCTTGATTCTGATTGGTCAGTCAAGGTGTTCAGGAGTTAATTATTCACGAGTGATCTCCATCTCCCAGTGCAACACTTATAAGCGAATGTTTGTCTGTGTTATTGAGCTTTTATAATAGTTAATATTCAAATGATCTGTTTTGTTGTTGTTATATTCAGTTTTTACCAACTGTTTCTAAATAAGTTTAATTAGTTTTTCCAATACAACTTAACTTCATGATATATTTGATAATTTTATTTAAACTTTTTAAAAAAATTATACAATTATTAATTCATTTTTAATCTTTTTATTTTTAGAAAAGTTCTAAATTAGTGTGTTTACCAACATGAATACATGATGAGCAGTGCATTTATATATAATAATGTTTCTTTTTTAGTAATATATTAATAAACATTAAACTGATAATAATAACACGAGGCAAGTTTATTTATTTAGCACATTTCATACACAATGGTAATTCAAAGTGCTTTACATAAACGGGAATAAAAGACACAAGAAAATAAAAACGATTAAAAGAATTAAAACAGATAATACAAGATGAAAGTGTGTTAAACAGGTTATAAAAGAATGAAAAAGAATAGAAAGACACAATAGTATGACCTGTCGGACGCAGCACAGTGCTCATTCAGTAAAGACACAGATAAACAGATGTGTGTTCAGTCTTGATTTGAATGTGCCTCATATTGGAGCACATCTGATCTTTTCTGGAAGCTGATTCCAGCAGCAGGGGGCGCTGTTAGTAGCTGAAGGCTGATTCACCCTGCTTTGACTGGACTTTTGGAATTTCTCGTTTACTTGATCATAATGATCTGAGTGATCTGTTGGTTTGTATTCAGTGAGCATATCTGTGATGTATTGAGCTCCTAGGCTATTTAGTGATTTATAGAGCAGTAATAATACTTTAAACTCTACTCTGAATGTAACTGGGAGCCAGTGTAGAGACCTGAGGACAGGTGTGATGTGCTCTGATTTCCTGCTTCTGGTCAGAATCCTGGCCGCAGCGTTCTGGATGAGCCGCAACTGTCTGACTGTCTGTTTGGGAAGGCCAGTGGTTAATTTGCAAGTATTGTTCATTCTGCTGTTCATTAACTAACATTGACTAATGCAACCTTATTATAAAGTGTGACTTTTATTTTAGATATTAAGTGTTGTGCTTAGGCTTATATTTGCTTTTAGTAGTTTTCCAATGCTAAATTTATAGATCAACAAATATTTACATTTTAATTTAGTTTATTTTAGCTTTTTAAATAATATTATTTAAAAAATGTCATTATTTACCATTTCAAAGCTTTTTATTATCCAGCTGATAATTAAATGCTTTAATAAAAATGAAACAGAAATGAACTAAAACTGTCTAAAACATAAATATTACAAAAACATAAAATTACAAAAACCAAATAAAAGTCAAAGGAAATCAGATCTAAAAAGCTACAACAAGCACGTTAATAAATGGATTTTATTATTAATAATCAACAGTTTTTACATCAAATGCAAAAGCAATTAATTAAAAAAAAATAAAATCTGTATTTACTGTTGTTTATTTTATTTATTTACTATACATTTGTGCAATCGGGTGTCTATTAAATCTGATACTATGATAAAATAAACCCTTTAAACTGATAAAAGTCCCGCTAGTTTTATATTTAGCCTGAATATCTGGCTTAATAGTCCTTCTAAGTTAGTTTCTCACTTCTGCAATGAAACTCTGAATGTTTTTGGCAGATTTTAAAGTCAACTTCAGGTTTCAGAAACTGTTGTTGCTTATCTGAGGAGATTCAGGGAATGCAGACAGATTTCAGTGAGCTGTTTAAATGTCTTTCTGTGGAAATGAAAGGGAAATTAGACTGAGTTTGCCTATTTTATTTTTAGACCATCTTTAGCAGTTTTGCTTTTTTGTGTTCAAGTTTAAGATAAACCCTCAGTTTTGAGAGGATTGATTATCTCTCAAATTTAGGATAAAATCTTATACCCACATAAGATCAGAATTGATAGGAAAATATGTTTTAATGTTCGCATCTGTGTTTATTTATTTATTTTTATTATTTATTTACATTTATATATGTTTTTATTGTATTTGTATACTTTGAATTGTTTAATCCTGTAGTTATATATATATATATATATATATATATA